AGCATCTGTTCGACTTATTAATAAATACATAGTTTCTTAATAATCAACTTTTTTTTTTCTTAGATTATAATAAAGTATAAGAGTTATAGAGAGTTAAAAGAAAAAATGAAGATTAATTTGAAATGCTTTGTTTATTAAGTAGAATTATTGTATTTTATTTGTTATTACATAGCAGCATTACGTTTGCCTCGATAACGGGACACAAATTGTGATGGATTTTGATGTACATTATAATCATAACCATTGGTATAGTATCGGCCTTGAGCATCTATCATACGATGTGGATTTGATCGACTATTTGCCCACAATAAATTATGAAATGCACGTTTACCAATTCTTGGAAATAGAACACTACGTTGTTCAATTAATCGTAATTCATTATCACTATCCTCTTCACTACTTGTGTTAGCATCAAGAAGAGAAGGAATTTCTTCACTATCATATACTGAACGACCAATACGTGGAAATTTTGTTGTACGAACATAACGACCATAATAAGATGGTGAATTTAATCCAAATTGTTGATCAATAAGATTATTTGTTAATTCATTTGAATCGACAACATAAGCGCACTAAACAATATATAAATATATATTTCATATAATAAATAGTAAATTCAATTTTAAAGGCAATACTTACAGATGATTCAAAGAAAAATATCATTAATATATAGCAATAGCTAAGAATTATTGTTGATGATAATGATGGAATAAACATTTTGTTAATTTAAAAAAAAATTAAGAATTAATGGTTTTATCTATTAAAAAAAGGTTATACAATGTATGCAATTGGAAAATATTTCTTCTTTTTATATAGCTTTAAGTAGTTATGGAAATGAGATTTTGGTGAGAAACAGTAGAAGTGTAGGAGGAGCAATGAACAATAGAAAAATTGATGATCAAAAGAAGAAAAAGAGAATAGAAGCTTTGTTTCAGTTCGAACAAATCACTGAAAGCATTGTCTTTGAAATCGGAAAGACAATCAATCGAATGCCATTCATTGTTAGTTAGGTCGGAAACATAGGCGGACGCAGTTCTTTTCTTAATAAACTCAATTTTCAGAAAGTTATGCTTGATGAACTGTTACGATTAGCAACATTAATAATTATCCCACATACTTTTTAATCAATTATAACTATGTCGTCTTACCTCGTTATAACAATTCAAATAGACACCTACATACAAAATATCATGTAAACGGCATGAAAGTTCCTTCAATTAGTCAGAGTAATACGTAAATGATTTGTAAAATATAAAAAAAAAAAAGAATGGAACATAAATTTCATATATACATTCTTTACTACGCATCAAAAAATAATAATAATAATGTTATTTTACAGCAAATTGAAAATGAACAAAAATATTAGTGTGATTGACAACCCGTCATGATAATTTTCCTTTCATTCATATACAAAAAAAAAGCATTTTATGAAATTACATATATATATATACAAGCAGAGAACAAATCCAATCAATATCTTTCATTTCAACACCTTGGAATTATAGTACATGCAATATTTTATGAAGTATAATTAATCCTTCCGTCTATATAGTCTATACATAAAAAGATTTTCTTTTGATTATATTTCAACTACTCATATTAAAAAAATAATCTGTTCTATTTGTTGATTGAAACGTTTTTACAAGTAGACTACAATGATGTTATATTATTTGTTTTAATACGGAGAAATTTTATGTACTTATTTATTAGACATAATGTTAACTCACCCTGACATATATATTAAAATAAGTTCATCAGTTGTTTATAAGAATAGTACTCGTTATGAAAAGGTTTTAATGATTCTCTTGTTTTGCTATTTACAATGATTTAAGAATTTTGTAAAAGATCGTATTCTTTTTCTATATTCGTATGATATCGAACAATATACATGAAAGAATTCATCGAGAAAATAATTTATTGTTGGACACATTTATCTTTATTGTGAGTATTCTTAATACGAATGATATTCATCGATTATTTTCATAGATGTCAAAAATGCAAACCAATATCTAATCAACTGATAGAGATATCTAATTAATGTAGAGTTTTTTTTTATAAACTTTCAACAACTTTTTCGACATTTTAACTTTGAATGCAAGTGAGTGATATTGATTGAGTTGAACAAATGAGAATTTCACATAAAATCTCCATACTACATTATAACTTAAACTTTCATTTCTTCTTCTTACTTTTATTCAGTTTCTGCAACTTATTAATCAGTTGAGATGCATCGTTATTCTATAAACTATAAAGTACAGTAGGTATTATCTCTATCTGATACAAAAATACATACAAACCATTTAATTCAAACATTTTCTTTTTCATAATACACTATATTATATTGATGCCACATATACGTCGTTCGTTGTTCACAAAGAGTGTATTCGTACCTATGAAGAAATATTTTTTATTGGAAAATGAAGTTGAAAAAAGATGAAATAATTAGAGTTATACATATGAACAAGCAGGCTCCACTTTATACACTATCATGATCCAAACAATATCAATAATTCGGAACAAAAATGTAAGTGTTCTACTACTTCAATCGCCGCTACTTCAGTGAAAGAAATTAAAAATTTCATTCTTAAAATAAATAATATTCAACTTATATCAATTTAAATCGTTCTTCATCTGCAAGCTAGATAATTTCTAATGATTATAAAATTTGTACAATTACGAATATGAAATTGCTTAAAAAACCTATTTTGAGATTGGTAATTCGAAATAGTAAGTGTTGATATACATTAGAAAAAAGATTCTGAAAAAGAATTATTTGAAAGTACAGTTTGTAGGGGAGATCGAGAAGTATGAAGTTCGCTTACGGCCATACCACGTTGAATA